GTTGTCATTTTCTTCGAGATCGTGGCCAACCTGTCACTGCACTAAAGTCTATTTCATTTTTAACAATTAAATTAGTTGCAAATTTGGGTTTATGTGCTGCAATGCATAAAAATGCTTCATTGGAGGCCGTTGAAGATCTTCTTTCGCTACCGTGCGCAATATTCAAAGTGAATGAAATGTTAATAATTTCAAGCTTATCCGAAAATTCATTTGCTAAAGACATTCAAAATAAAAATAAGTTACTTAATTGCTGTTAGTTGAGACATTAAAAACTAAATTTAATGAATTCAACTTTTACTGTAATTTTATTGCTCTATTTTTAAACGTATCTCATAAATTTCGGCTGTTATTTTAAGCGAAGATGAAGTTTTAAAATATAATTGAATACTTTTTAAAATACTTGCGTTAAATAGGAGATTTATGCCAATGTCATGGATAAAAGTTTGTGGGGATTTTACTTAACAACATAAAACTGATTATACAATACATTTTTAGTTAAAAAATCACCAGTTACTAAATATAACAACATTTGTTTTAATGTTGAAAAATTTTTAATTATTAACTTATAGTAAACCAGTAGAATTCATTGAATATATAGTGTATTAATATTCCAAAAATGTTATAATAATTTATTGTTTAAATTACCAAAAAAAATTTTTTAAAAATAATTCTAATTCTAAATATTTCTAAATAATGATCTATTAAAAAAAATTTATTTGTTTTTAAAGATTTTATTTTTACCAATATTTCGACTATAATATAGTCATCATCAGGGTACTATGAAAAAAATAACAAAATTATTTTTAAAAAAAATGTTATAAAAAATTTGTGTAATATTAATAATATATATAATACAAAAAAATCAAATGAATCAAAATAATATAAAAATAATTTTTGTTGTTGTATTTCACCATTTTTCAAAATTTCTCTATTAAATATAATAGTTTCTATAAAGAGAAATAGTCACTACCGTGATAGTGACGTTAAAATCAAATTTATTATAAATTTATTAATATTAAAAAATCAAACTAATAATCTGAAATAAATAAATTTTATAAATTACTTTTTTATTTACTTTGCTGCCCATTCCAGACATTAGTCAGCTAGCCCGTGACTTTTCCTCGCCAGTTGGTAGTACCAAGTTCCTTCATATCTATGGTCACCTGGTCCTTCCACCGAAGATGTGGATGTCCTCAAGCGCATTTTCAACCTATGGGTACCGACATAAACACACTTTTAGCAGGAGCATTTTCTTACATTAGCACGAGTTGACTTAGCCAGCAAAACAGCTAAATTTTTACGCACTTATACAGCTAAGCTTTCCATCTTACACTAACGCGTGAGGCATCAAAGATCTCTTAACGTTTTCTCATCGCTGTTGGTAAACGTCATAGCTTCTGCACCATACGACAGAACTGGACTGATAATAGAATTTATTGGAGGATTGAATAATAGAAAGACTATTTATCATTGATCGGTGTACTATAGTACCTTGGACTATCCTTTACAAGAAGCACATATAAAGTAATAATTTAGGATGCACACTGAAGTGTTGCCAATAAAATAAAACTGATGCTTTGTTAAAAAAAATAGTACATGAATAAATGACTCTAAATCAATTCAAATGAAGTTTATTTTATATAAAATCTTATGCAACAGTGACTTTATACAAGTGCCAGATACTTCAAACTGAACAAGTAAAATACTCAGCTTGATCAGAGTCTTATGTGAAGCTCTCATATATTTTAAAAGTAGAAGAAACTGTCAAGAAATTTGATCAAATAAAATATAAATATGGGAATCTGTTTCAAAATCTAATATAGATATTCTAAAGACGTACTAGTAAAAAGAATGTTTACAAAAATACCAAATTATACTTTTTTCAGGGATACTATACTATACTGTGAACTAAGAATTCCAATGATATACTTAGAAGCCAGAAATATCGGTAGCATTTATCATAAACAGCGAGCAAAAAGTACCCACCGGAACCATCAGACTTCAAGTGTACTGGGCACAGAAACTTTTTACTCAGACGTAATAAATACTCTCAAATTTACGTAAAATATAAATTATTTTTATATTATATTGTATTTTATTTAAATTTTAATTATAAGTTATAACCAAACCCTTCGGCCGATAGCATTAAATAAACGAAATTAAAAACAAATAGGATATTATTAATACATTTAATATTTATAAATTAAGAAATAAAGAGGTTATTATTAATAAGTTTAATATTTTCAAATCTGAGCAAGAATTGCCAGCTTTGATTAAAATTACCAAAAGTTTTTAAATATAATAAGTAATATTTCAACAATTATCTTAGTTTTTTAATTAAAAGAAATTAACTGCAAGATCTGTCAGACTTGTTAAAACAGGAGCGCAATGTACCGATTCATTATGAATTATATTCCGTATGATACACAAAGAGAAAAAAAGTGATCTTGAAAATTGATACTTATGACAAACAGGTAAACAGGTAAACCTAAATAAACCTAAACCTAACAAGAACCCAACATAGGGTTATTACCTTGAAGTATTTACGATAAAGTTCTAGGATAGGAATAGTTTGGCATACGAGGGGGATTATGTTATCATAGTGATGATGCGTTAGACATGCTTTTACTTTTTCTCCAAAAAAAAAAAACGAAACTCTGTACATAAAATAATTTTAGTTTGGTTAAGGAACTTGGTATGATTAAATATAACTAGTCTACCTAAAGCTTTTAATCATTACATCCAGACTCGATGATAAAATGGATTTACAAATACTTTCTCAGTAAATTCAAGCACTGTAAGTATAGTTAACATTAGTTTTAATTTATTAATTGGAATAGGTCGTAGTAGAACGTTTTTTTCTGTCCAAGTAGCTGACGATTTTTCTTACCAAACACCCGGATATGATATTTTATGTTTGAGAACTAACCTGCATGGTTGATTAAGGAATAATTTCAGTTCAAAAAATTTAACTAGAGATACTTAAATATGTTATTGGGTTTACAACTACTTTAAAATCTTAATGTACCCAAACATTTGTATTAGCCAAGCTCAAAATTACCCTAGGTATTGCTGTCAAGAGCATATTCTCTGGTAATTAGTGAACTCTTACAGTTTGAAAATACCATTCTTAATTATTTAAAATTATCTAAGACGAATTCGAATAGCAAAGAAAAGACAAGGACAAAAATTTCAATACATTAAATAAAATTTTTGTCCTTGTTTTTTCTTTGCTATTCAAATCCATCTAACTTTTACATAGTTTCTTTTCGTCATAAAGACGCGTCACTCTCGGCAAGAAAATATTAACATTTGTTAATTCGTTCCTTGTTAATTCGCTTAAAATATATATAAATTTACGGGAAAATTAGAATTTACCCTCAATTGAAGAATACATATGCCTCGGTTATTTATATCTATTTTTTTAGAGAAAACTGCGGTTTTATATTTACATGACTACTGCCAATTGCTTGTAATTCCACTTTATTAAGTTATAGTGGCAAACTTTATTCTTAAAAATACCTTTCGGAACAAACTTTTACAAATTTAATAGATTTTTTATGCGACTGGACTCATTCGTTTCGGTACCTGTAGCAATTAAGTATTTTATATTTGGTTTTTACACTCGGAGAGGTAACAATTATACTACAAATATAGCTGCATTAATTGTAAAATGTTATATGCAGCGCTAATAGTAACCGGTGGATCTTTAATTATTTTTGGTGTATTTCACAGAACTATTTTAAAATTACCTTGAACAAGTGGACAAATTCAATTGAAAGTTTAAAGTGATTCATCATTGGTTTGGTGTTAATAATGGGCTATATAAAATCTTTAGTCAACACATTTCCACATTAACCAGAATAATGTTAGCATCGGTAATTTAAGATATAAAACTTTAATTTTTCGTTCCATTCTTCAACATAAATTTTTCTAGTATCAAAATGACTCAATAGAACTTCAGCAATAGATATTTGTACAATTTACAATAGATTAAGGTCGTAAAAAGTTATTGCTTTAAGCAAATAAATAGATGAAGTATTTTATTTACTGTAACTGATTTCTATTCTACTTGATTTTAATTTTTTTACAAAGTTTTTAAACAATAAAACGATCAAATTTTCTTAATAAAATTAAATACTATTCTTCAAGCAAGGCTAAGACACCGATTCCTAATCAAGTTCAGTACTGAATACTTTTAAAATTTGGTATTTTATAGAACCATTAAGTTTATATTACAAATATAAAATTTATGTTGTAATTTTAATTATCGTCTTTGCTGTTAATTTTTAATAAATGCAGCATTTATCATCGAATTGCAACATTTGCATAAAGTTAACATTTTACCTTCATGCAAAAAGTCTGTTACTAAAATTAATGCGAAATTCGAATGTTCCTAAGACCGCAGCCATATGTTAGCCTAATGCTAATGCTAAATACCCATACAAGCAGACAGACACTAACATCAAATGTTGCAACAAATTTCAGACGTTGTTGCATTTGTGTTTTTGGTCTATTTTAAAATATTTTATTTGCTTTTGTTTTTGAAGTTTTTTCTTCTTCTTGGTTTTGCTGTGAATTAATTGTTGTTAGTGTAGTTTGAGCTTTTCAAAGTGTTTTTTTTTGCTTTGATTTGAATTTGTTGTGTTGTTTTTCGTTTTGTTGCGGCTTTTTGTTGTTGCATATGTTGCTGTTGCTGTTGCTATTGCTGTTGCTATTGCTGTTTCTGTAGCTGCATTGTTGCCGCTACAGCTGTTGCCAGTAAGCATTGGGTAGCAATCACTTTCTTCCTAAATATATAAAAGCAACAATTTTTCGTTGTATCAGCATTATTCAGTAGTGGAAAGTGGTTTCGTTAAGTTCGATCAGCTCAAAATAGTGATCTCGTACTATAACTATTCAAAGAAATCTAAATAATAAATTTAAAAACAAAAAACAGTTTTATTTTTTTAAACAAATTATATTTGAAATATTAAAAAAAAATAAATTAAACAATTAAAATGGCACTTAAGGTGAGCAAAGGATATGTAAATGTGTTAATAAAGTGTTTGTGTGTATATACGTAAAGGACTTTCAGGATAAAAATATCGTAAAGCAAACTTTGAGAATATTGTATATATTAAAAACACAATAATATAATTTTTCTTAAAAAATAGGCCCAATTGGATTTATAATAAAATTAGTTCAAAAAATAAAAATATTGTTAATATTAATATAATGATATTCAGTGAATACTGTGTTGTACATTTGTTTATTAATAAAAACAGACATGTTTTATAAAATATAAAAATATTTTAAATAAATATTTTTATTTAAAATATAATAATAGATATAAAAAAAATATTAATAAAATTATTTAACTTTACATACATACGAAATGAACTTCAAATTTATACACAAAAGGAAAAAATACTTAAATAAAATAAAAAATATAGTACTATAAATGAAATATTATATATATAAAACAAAAAATTTAAACACAAAATAAAAAAAATATAGTAATAAAAAAATAAAAAAAAATATTTATAAAATTATTCAACAACTAATTACACATAGAAGAGGAACTTCACATTTGTATACAAAAGGAATTAACACATAAATAAATTTAATAATTAAAAAAAAATATTTATACAGAATAATTTTAAATGATTCTCCGTAATTAAAAAATTTTACACTAGTTGCAAAAGTTTGTATATAAAATATTATTAATATTAAGTATTATTGCTATAAGACTGAAATATTAAATAAACACTGACTTTTGTTTAAAAAAAAATTAGTAGTACTGATGTTTTAGTGTTTTTAAACAATGTGTTAAATATTCATTAAATAAAGTTTTATTTTATTAATAATTATAATTTATTGATTACATTTCTTAAACTAAATAACATAGTTTAAAATTGTTCTGTATTTTGTATATTAAAGGAAAACTAAGCTTTTAAAACAATATTTTAAAAGTTTAATAATTAACAAAAACTTAAAAATAATATTAACATGTATAATATATTACAAGTATAATATATTAATATATGTTGAATATATATGTAAAAATAATAAATTAATAATAAATAATTTAATAATTATTAAATAATAATTATTTATATAATTTTCTGCTTAAATATGCAAGCAACCACATGTTATTTGCATCTGAAACAATAATATGGTATTGATATTAAATATAATTATTTTATTAAATTTAAACTTTAAACAATTTAAATATAAAAATTAGGTTGATTTTATTTTAATTTTTGTAAGTAAATTATTCTGAAAAACATGATTATGTTCGTAAAACATATAAAATATAAGATTTGTTATATATACCTTTAATTTATATATTATATTTAATTGTAAAATTCAGATGTATTTATATGTAAAATGTAAATACATATTTTTAAGTTTAATTAATTTTTTTTTTTAAATTTTATTGTAGTCTCAATATTGTTTTTTATAATTCAAACTAATAGCTAAAAATTTTATGAATTAATAAAATTTCGTAAGTTGTACCCAATACAAAACTTATATATAAATTTGTTAAGGATTATATATTAATCAAAAGAAATGTTTATTAGTTATTAATATTAGTTTATTAGTTAAACAGAAGCCAAAGCGCCAATTAACAGCATTAAAAACATTTATTCATAGAATTAAAAACTAATGAATGAGTTCTAAAAAAATAATTTTAAATTTCTAAACTTTAACATTTAAAAACCTAAAAACATTATAAAATTAATATAATATTGTTGTATAAATATTATTACTTAATTATTATTTATGTAATTTTGTATACTTTAATACTACAATTTTTATTTTTTTTTTAATTATTTTTTATGATTTTATTACTTATTTCACATATTATAATATATATATATATATATAATATATATTTAATTTAATTTAATTTAATTTATTATTTTATATACTTTTTAAAAATGTTTTTGTTACAAGCAATATAAACATTTTCAAAATATTGATTAATTTTGTAATCATTATTATTTTTTTATAATCTTATTAATAACTTCAATTACTTATAATGTACCAAAAGTTATATTATTTATATATATTCTGTAATTAGTTGCATGTTATATAAATGAAAATTTTTATTTCAATATTTTTTATTAAATATATTTTTTATTGTTTATTAATTTTGTAATTATTATTATTTTTTATAATACAAATTGTTGTTGAAATTTATATAGTTTACACACATTTTGTGAATATAGTTATTTTATTTTGATTTATTACAAATTATAAATTTCATGTTTTTTTAAATATATTTTAATTGCTTATTAATTCTGCAACTACTACTTTTAGACTATTAATTAGATATTAATTTTTTTTTATTATTGCAATGTAAAAAGGCAATAAATCAAAAACCATAAAAATGTATTAAAAATGTGGTTACGCGATGTGAAATCACTAAAATTAAATTATTTTATGTGCAATAAATAATTAAAATGTTTGTAATTTATAGACGTAAAAGTGATAGTGTTTGCAAATAATTAAAAAATTACACAATATAATTGGTAATAATGTTTTAATTGTTTTAATAAAAAAAATGCAATGTTATTAATATTTTAATTATAATACTCGTATGATTCATTGAATTTAATATAATAATTTTTAATTATTTTATTTTAGTATTTGATTTTCGCATCAGCTCTTTGCCTTACATTGGCCTATCCCTTGGATCATCATTATTATGAAGACCATCATGGAGGTTATGAACATTTGCAACAACATGAGGAGCCTGTCCATCATGAATACAGTCATCATCAACTGGAACGTATCTCATTGAGTGAACATGAACCTGAGCATGAACATGAACACCATGAAGATGAACATGTTGATTATTATGTAAGTAATTTGCTTTATAATGCTTCTTTAGAGAGATCTTAAAATAATAAATGACATGAAGTATTTTTTTATTTTGAAATGCTTGTGTTGAAGCAGCATTCAATATTAAAACCTTCTTTAGATAGAAGACAGACAATAGAAAAAATGTTTCCTATTAAGTTCAGAAATTGATTAATATTTTAAAAAACTCACCAGATTTAGAAATATATATATGAAGTATATCCATATATATATGCTATGATATGTAGTAGAAATATAGCAAATGATACTATTGTTGTTATAAAAATCTAATGAATACATGAGTGAGACGGACAAGATTGAGTAACATTACACTAAAAACAAATATATAGTTAGAACGAATTATGTGACATTGTGATTCGTAATAGGTAAAACAAATTCTTTGTCATTATAATGGTAATTATTATTATCATTCATTGTTAGGACATTTTCAAATATAGCACGTATTGAGCAGCTTCGCTCATCTTCTCCAACATTCTTTTCAAACCATCTGGTTTCAATGACAATTCTTATAAATTTTCATAAGTTAACTATGTAATAAATTGGATATATAATTACTAAATAAAGGAAATATACAAATAGTAAATAAACTATGTAATTATTATTCATATATTATTAATGTTATTATTTAAATATATTTCTTTATTATTTTATTGTATTCTTATTATACAAAAGATATTATAGAATATTTTAATAAATGTTGAATTTTCAGGCACCACCAAAATATGCTTTCAAATATGGTGTAAATGATTATCACACTGGTGATGTTAAGTCACAACATGAAACTCGTGATGGCGATTCAGTTAAAGGTAAATAGTTTATAAATATCAATAGGATTAAATAATTTATTTATGCCGTTTATTTATGTCATTTTTAGGACAATACTCCCTTGTCGAACCAGACGGTTCCATACGTACCGTAGACTACACTGCCGATAAACATAATGGATTCAATGCTGTTGTACACAAGACTGCACCAGTCCATGAACACGAAGAACACGAACATCATTTCTAAGCCTAAACCATAATTAGCGATAAACTTGCAGCAAACATATGCCAATTGTTAACATTAATGCTCTCAATAATGGTTAAAAACAAAATTAACTAAATTAAAGTATTTCATCAGAAACGACTAGAAAACACATCAAAGCTTATCGATTCATTTACTATACAAATCAGCCACAAACATTTCGTCTAATGTGAAACTAACAAGTCAACATTGTTTTAAATTTTCATTACTTCATTGTCAACTTCATAATTACGATATAATTAATGTATTTTCTGTGATAGCGTTTAAATCTTTTGCTCGGTTTTTATTCTTAAAATAGTCACTATCTTTAACTTTAACTTGTAACTAAACTATTCTAATCTGCTCTGGACTGTTACTTTAATGAATAATTATCTTCGCTTAAACTTACGATGCATTTGCAGTTAGGCACAATATAATGTAATGTAAATGTAATGTATTTGTAATGTATTAAACTTAAATTTCATATTAATTTTATATTTAATTTCTATTAACAACTGTTTCTTTTTAATGTAACAATCAAAAAATAGACTGCTCTTGTTCTTTATGCTAGTTTTATATATGAGAACTAACGAATTTGTTTTAAAAACTTAACTGAACTAATCTACACTCTTTGTTTAAAAATAAAAAATAAAAATGAAATTAATTTTTTTAATTCAATTCTTAGCATTAAAATTTAATGTTTTTATGAAGTATGAAAAATTTAAAAATTTAAAAATGTATTAAATATATAAATTGTTAATATTAAACATATATATTGCTAAAACATAATTTCAGAGATTTTGTTATATTAATTCAATTATATAAAAATTGCATTTTTTTTGTTACATGCACTTTTGATGTAAAATTTGTGCTTTCAATTAAAAGACTTAAACAACGAACTTGTTTGAAGCATGCATGCAATTTGGCGCCAATAATTTCTTAAAAGTTTTACTGGAAAAACTCGCTTGCAGCAGGAAAATGCGAAAATGTATTTTGTAAGAGATTAAATAAATAAAAAAACAAAATTTGTATTCATTACGAAATGGAATTGCAGCAAATGACCAAAATGAAAATTTGCTTTAGACAATATTTGCGTGGAAGCAGCTGTTTTCGTTTGGTGCATGCTACTTTGCTGGACTTAGTAGTGCAGCAATCATTGAACTTGCACTTCCAGTAAATAAACTGAAAAACCATTCAATTAGTGATATATTAAAAAACGAAAGAAACGGCAAATTGAAAATGCGTGCCTAGATCTTGTTTGGTTTTGGCTTTATTTATCTTTCGAGTCTTTCGTGGTACATGTATAGTAAGTAAAATTGTTTATGCCTAGAGCAAATTTATTTGCAAGAAAAAATTGGCATTTGTCTAACCACTTGTCAATGCACAACCAAAACAAAATTTTGAAGATTTTCAATTCATTGAGTTTTTTAAACAACATTTCCAGTAATTACATTTTCTGAGCTCTAATGAAATTATCTAGTAAGTTTTGTAACAGTCGTAATGCACCACAGCGACTTTTGTGTATATCTTCACATATTTTTAAGTTTCAAATGCAGGAAGATTATATCTTCTACTATATAATTTACAATTTTCTTGTTTATTGCAGGTTGAGAAGGAGTTTGGGATTTGCACGTTTTAAATGTTTGATTTATTTTAATTTCATTTCATTATTACAACTCTCGTCTTCATAACTGTTCAAGTCTATTTCTTCTTCAAACTTTAATTTACTTCTTTCGTTTTTGCAGAAAAGTGGCAATTTTTTTCCATTTGTGTAATATTTACTTAAAGCTGCAATAAGCTGGTATAAATTATAGCAATTTTGTAAATAATTTTCAAATATGCAATTACCGTCTTTAATTCGAAGTATTACATTATTTATTACTTTATATAATTATATAATAAGTAATTGTAACAAATTACAAGCTTTTAATAATAATTTTGAAATTAATAATATATAAGCTCCACATTCACTTGTTAATAGTTTTAAGTACATACGAGTATATATTTTATAATATATAATAATAGGTGGCACTGAAGCCTTTCGCTAAAAAAACGTGATAAATAAGGCTTATGATATTAAATCATATGAGTTTTTAATAAAATTTTCATATAATCCTACCTGAAGATAATTGCTTTATAAATCAGGAATAAAGTAATTACATAGATGTACAATGTGACAGACGATTAAAAGTTGCCAACTATTGATGAGCAGCAATGAGGGACTGTAAATGATGTAGAAGACTCCTTAAGATGATTATAACACCTTTAAAGTAAGATAAGAAAGAACAGGGTTCTAGCTCCATGATTGATCTTTTGAGCTACAACAGACCCTAACTGAACAAAAGACATTCCGCCTTCCGGATGAAGGCTAAAATGTCGGTCATTGAGGACCTCCTAATATCGGAAAGGGAGAGCAATTCCCGATCCAGTGACCTCCTCCTGGCCCAGATCAAGGCTGAACAGTTACATAGAATGTGGTTGTCTCCTCTGCTTCTAAGCAGGGTCTACAATCTATCTCTTTGGACAGGCCTACTTTGTTGAGATGGTAACGTGACCCGTGGTGACCCGTTAGATATACCTTTAAAGCAACTATTTTGCATTTTAAGAAATAGTTTTCATATTGAATAGTTTTCATATTGAAATGTTATGCATATAATCAGGATAACATTTTAGTATTTTGTCTACTAAGCAGGGTCTACAATCTATCTCTTTGGACAGGCCTACTTTGTTGAGATGGTAACGTGACCCGTGGTGACCCGTTAGATATACCTTTAAAGCAACTATTTTGCATTTTAAGAAATAGTTTTCATATTGAATAGTTTTCATATGAAGAGATCCTAGTTTTGTCGTTTTAAGTTTAAGATGGTCTTTGAAAGGAGATCCTGCAGTGCTTTAAGATCGTCCAGAATATAAATTTCTAGCCAACTTAGTTTAGGAAATAGCTAAGTACAACTTAAACAATCTCATTTATCTCCTTTAAACGGACGGCAAGAATCATGCCATCCACTCGCATGGTTTCCATAAGCCATCTCATTTTCCTTACAGCTACAGCAAAAGTCATTCGAAGTTGTTAGGATGATTTTCTGCCTGCAAATGAGAGGTGTCGTATAATATTTTTCACTATTAGAAATGTATTAACTTAAGTACAGATGTCCGTATATTATTTATCCAAACTTTATTGTATTCAAATACATAAATTCAAATTAGCATGAACGATGAGAATAATTTTGCCAAGTTTATAGAATATTTACTTTAAGAAAAAAGTAATGCCGACTTTTTTTTTATTTTTTTTTGAAATTGGTATCAGAAACTATTTCGATATGTATTTCTTTTGAGCCAATCGCTATATGTTAAATAGTGAAATGGTACTAAAAATACATCCGTAGTTGAGTTTGTGTATAAGACTGTGTTCTTAATTGTTTAATAATCAGTTAAACCAACAGATAGATAGTTATATAGAGAAATATACAGTGGATAGATAAAATATATTCTTTTTTATTATTGAATAATAGATACTTTTATGTGGAACAATGACAGACAGTTTGTACCTACGAAAGATAGGTTAAGAAACGCTGCTCTAGACTAATGCGAATAAAAATGAACTAATTGAGTCTGACAATATTCTCAAGTATGTTCAATATACATTTTATATATCTATCATCAACAAATTAAAATAGCCCTAAAGATGTCATCTATCTGTCTATAAATACTTAAACTTGTTGCTCAGTTCCTATCAAAATAAATGATATATAAATTCTAGCAGATCAAAACGAAAAATGAAAATAATCGTTTGACTATATCATATTGTGAATCTACAAAACTCTTAAAGAAATTGTTTACATTTCTAAAATAAATATATAGTATTTTATTTAAAAATAAAATATATCTAAATATTTAGTTAAAAATATAGTAATTTAATAGTAAGTAATTTATTTATAACAAAGCCAACAATGCATAGGCAAAGCCAAAGTTGACTGGTTTTGTTTCAAAATGCTAATCAGTTCAGTAAATGGAATTACAGTAATTTTTCGATATATTGTATTTTAAATTTACTCAGCATAAAGATATACTCTTCGCAGATACAATTTACAGTTTTTAATGTATAATTTTAGACGCAAAACTTTTAAACTAAAAACAGTGGCGGTAAACTGCAAACAAACTTAATTCATGCAAACTTTATTATTTCACATCATTACTAATTTTTTAAATAATAATCTTTATAGATATAAATTTTTATAAATAGTCATTTATAAAGATATAAAGATAATTTCATAATAATAAAATAAAATTAGTTGAATAAATTATTTTTGCTCTAACAATAAAAATTAATATAAGCGATAAGCTAAAGCAGTCTTCCAAATATAATTATATCATAATATACATTATCTAGTTATAATTATGAAGTAAATATTTTAATACAATAAATTTATAAATTTATTTCTGTATATAACTTACCATTTAAGAATTTTTTAAAGAGTTGAAAGATATATTGGTCTTTTAAGAGCTAGATTACATTGCTATTTACATATTCCAATTTAAAGTGTTCACACTTGTCTCTATTCCTTACACCGCTTTAAAAATTAAACGTATCCGTCCAATCTCATATGACGACAACTTTGAATAGATGTATTGATTAGAGTTGCCAGTATCAGTCTTAAATGTTTTTTTGTTGATCCGATAAAGCAACTAGTTCGATATTTGGTAAAATCAATAAATAGTATATGCAAATTTATATTATACACATTAATGTTTAATCACCGATTATTTATGCCGCCTTCGATTTGGGTAACACATCTATTGCAATTTTCTTTTTCGTTTGGTAAGTCTCGAGTGAAATGTCTAAGACTCGAGTTAAATTTATAACACTCTAGATATTTTACTAGAGTAGCAAGTTTATTCTGACATTAACAGCTAATTCATATGACCTGACAAATAAAGCATGTTTTAATCCGATATATGTGTTTATTAAATATATAAATGTCTACTAACACTATTAGAAAAACGTTAGATTACTTTTAAAATGTTTAATTGGGCAACAAAAGTTGACAGATCTATATGTAGATTGAATCCAAATTTATCAATCGAAAACGCCATTAGTTAACTTTGACATTCGTTTAATTCTACTTTAAAAATTAATTTAAATATAAAATCATTTTTGTGTTAATATATGTGTACGTGTATAAATCAGTTCTATGAAAGCTCTCATAAGTCTATTTATGTTTCAGTCGA